CTCTGGTAGATAGCTGTTCATTATTATTATTTTCTTGCCTGAACCAGGCCCACCAGGGCCTGACACTGCAATGTGAGAATCTTGGCTGCCAGGGCTTCACAGGCCTGTAATATACTCTTTTCTCCCACAACCAGAGAAAGGGTACATGTAACTTGGGATACCACTCCTTCAGCTGCTGGTCCTTGCTGAGGACTCAGGGTCACTTGCTTCTGCTTTCCAGGTCTCATTGAACTGGGTCAGCTATCACACTGGAATCCTTGTCCCACAGTGGCACCCCACGAGGGCATGTCCTCTGGGGAGGTGCCAGCAGCAGTCTGCACTCACAGACAGGGTTACCAGAGTGTGTGAAGCACACCAGGGTCACATGCTTGTGGGCTTATGGGTGAGATGCAAGCCTGTGTGTCAGGACCAAACTCCTCCATCTGCTGTTCCTTGCCTTACCATATGATTATTTTGAGGCCCCCAGTTCCACACGTACGTCTGATGTCTCAGCGTTCCTAATCTGTGCACCTCCTGTTGGTGTTTCCACTAGTAACATCCTCTTCCCTTCCGATCCTGGATCTGAACAGGTTGAAAGTAGGGCAAAGAAGAAGCCTGAGTGGTGAGGATGCCTCCTTGGTGGCAGAGGAAGCCACCTTTGGGCATGTGCTCAGTGTCCAGGACTGGTCCTGGAAGTAGGCCAAGCCCAGCCTGATCATGGCTGTGCAGGGCCAGGCCTAGAGCAGAGAATGGGGCCTTTTGTTCTTCCCGTTTTCAATAGCAGATTTTTCCAGAATGGTTTTCCATTGCCCCTTCTCGCCCCTTTTCCCTCACTGACCCACTTGCCATCATGGACAGTGATAGCTAGGCTTCAGCTTTCCTGTGTACTCACTGCCAGGCGGGGCGCAGCGCCTGTATTTAGTCTTTGACATCCCATGGTGACTGTGTTCCTGTCACCTCGAATATTCAGCACAGAGAGGTGGGATGGGACATCTCTGTTTGAAGGTAAGTGAGGTGCTTTGGGGGCTGGTAGGGGCTTTGGTCAGCTGCTGTGGGCACGGGGTCTCTGTGGGTTTGGCTGTAGTTGGGTTTTCCTGTTGGAAGCTTGTGGCACAGAAATACCTGCCACAGGCTTCTTCAGCTCTGGCTAGAACCCTGGGACTCATGTTTAAGAATTCTTGATTATATCACCATTGCAGCACAGATGTGGTTTTGCAGATATGTTGTTTTCTTTGAAGATTATTCTTAAAAATGTTTTTATTTTACCTGGCCAATGTAATTTTTCTTGGGGGCTTTACATTTGATCTGAACTGGAAAAAAAAAAAGTTACCATTTTAAGACAGGTCTTTGGATTTATTGTCTGTACACATGGAAATTCAAATAATATTTCTTTTCTTAACTAAAGAAAAACCGGAAAAGAAAATAAATTTCTTGCTACTTGGAATAATAAACATGGTGAAGCATATGCAGTATATCCTGGCAATAGAAATTCAAGGTCGGAAATAATTTCTTTCCTCCTGTGTCTGCTTTGGCTTCCCTGAGGAGTGCAACGGCTGAAATTTGCTACTAATTGTAGCCATAATTTTAGCATGCAATTAAACACATGATTTCCTTTCCAGCTGATATCTTTTTAGCTAGTCTGACATGGATAAAACAAAAGCTCTGTAGACTGAACAGCCACTCTAATCTGATAGGAGGGCATGGAAAGTTACCCTTATTTGAGCATGTTCAACAACCTAGGAACTAGATTAATCTTGCCTATAAAAATGGTGAACAGCCTGGGTGCTTCTAATGCAGTCTCTAGTGCTATTGTCAGTGGGCTGAAAAAACTCACAGTTCGTGTGCCGTTTGCTAAAACCCTCTGTGAGGCTAAGGATCATTGGTGGTAGTGATACCAGACGGGGAAGAATCAGGTTAACACTGGGTGATGGTGGTAGGATTTTGGAGGTCACCTCACACTGTGGGGTGCTGGTAGAGGATCTCAGGGTCTGAGTAGAGCTTCTGTCTGAGGAGGGAGTCAGAGAGGCTTAAGGCTCCAGCCTGACTCGCCCTGGGCTAGGGTATCCATTCACTGTTTTCTCTTCCTTGACTTCTCCCAGAAGGGCATATGCACTATAAACAATGTTCTATGTGATATTAGGGCTCCCTACCCAGGAGAGTTTGGGGATCACCAGAGTAAAGAAACTAAGTTTCCATCCTCACAGATGTCTTCAGAGTTTGTTACATACTTAGATATGTTGTGATTCTCCAAACATTTTTTTATTTAAGGAAAACGTGACAGCACACAGTTTGGGAAACATTGTCTAGTTGTGTAGATGTTGTCTAGCCCAGTTCCAAGATTTTGAATACCTCATTGAATTCTCATCATGGTGAAAATTAGGTATTTTTATAGTATCCCTGAGATGCAGTCAAGAAACCATTGAGTGGCTGAGAAACTTGTCTGAGGTCTCAGAGCTAGTTCTGGGCTGGGCTTTGCCTTCTCTTTCAGCTGCATTCCTTGTTGACCTTGACCCTGTAGTCTTGCACACAAAGTCTTTTTGATTTCTTTCCCAACTTTGATCCTTCTTTGGCCTCTGGGACCAAAGAATGGTCTTCATGCTGCATCAGCACTGTTGTATGTCTGTATGCTCCCGACACAGACACTTGACTGTGGGGTTTGTGAACACCAGCGCTATTGTACAGTTGGGTCTTTCATCTGTAGTACCATGGCTGGCACATGTTTGCTGTGAGTGAAAAGTGGTGAGGGATTTTCAAATACTCTTTGCTCCTTAATAATAGGGGGTAGGGGTGTGGGAGTGTAAGAACAGAAGAGTTCCTGATGATTCTCAGTTTCTGAGAATTCATGATTTTTTCTTTGTGAAGCCAACTCTTATTTTGGGGGGATCAGAAGTGGTGTACAAGTCAGTCTCCTACTTGTCAGGAGCAGTGTGTTCCCTTGAATAAATGTTGGTATGTGTCACCAGCAGTGTGTATACTGGTATTTAACAGAGGATGCAGTCGACTTGCTGGGAGGATGCTTGGGAGGATGCAGTCGACTTGCTGATTATTCCATGGTGTCATCTCTCAAAGAGTATTCTTACCTTTCTCTGTAAGTGCATGGACGGAGCTGGAAGGGCTTATATTCAGCGAAATAATCCAGAAAGATAAAGAAAAATATCAAATGGCCTCACTTATAGGAGGAATGTAGAGAAAATGAAAAAATAACAATAATAAAGTAAAAATTAAAATCATCAGGCAACTATCGATCAGAGACATTCTGTAGGAGAGGGGGAGGGAGAAGGACCAGGATGGGGTGGGAAGAACACAAGGGACTATGGTGATGGTGCACGGGGGAGTGGGTGGTGGGAATTTCAGGGGAACTATACATTGTACAAAATGAAGGATGATGTAAAGAATTTATTTATTTATCCATACAGAACTGGGGTATAAGCCAGCAATGCAGGGGTGGTGAGAGGATGCCCCAGAGACAGAGTGGGGATCAGAACAGGCAGATCAAGTGAAATACACTACTGAGGGAAGCAGCAGGCAGGTCAGGAGAGGTCTGCTGTGCAACGTGGTCACCTCCCGAACTCACACTGAAGTGGCTGCAGCTAGCTTGCAGTGCTGC